AAATATTTCATGTTTTTGATTGGTGACATTTTTTTACATACATAATCTAGTATATATTTATGTTTTATAATTTTCCATTTATAACAATGGTTCACATATACCCGAGGAAGTACTTTTATTCTGAAAACTATACACGATAATTTAAAAAAATCTTTATAATAACATTATGTATTCTTTGATGTCAATTTGAATGAACGACACACTATATACACTATATATTTGAAGACCAATGAAGATTCATTTCATAGCGTTAGTTGATAAGCCGGGTGTGATCGTTGTAAAACGTCAAGCACGAAATCAAAATGTCAAGAAACGATGGCAAAAAAGATTCGTCAGCATCTACATTTCGAAAAATCGATGTTGATCAGTATAGTGACAATAATTTTAGAGAAGAAGATGCTGATGGTGGAATAGGAGGACCTACTGGTCCAGATGAAAATGAAATTTTGACACTTCTTAGCCAATATCCTTTCCATGACGTTTGTCGATATATAATAACATTACAATAATTTTTATTACATTTTATCGTATTTTCCTTAATATGTACTTAAGGGTAAGAATGCTGATGCTTTAATCTCAGTGTTAAGATCTGCACCACTTGGCTGTAAAAATCAACAAGTAAAGGTAACCTTAGTATCACGCCCTTTAACTACTATTTTATGAAATCGTTATTTTAATATTTTTAGTGTATTGCACAATCAAATGTTTTATTCATATTTATAAATAAATATTGTTTAGCACTTTAAAGTATACTTTGATACATGTGGTATAAAATGTATAGCATATATAATGTGTTATAACTTCTTTGAATTATGTGTTCTATATAGTAAATGCGTTTTATAGTATAGTATTTAATAAAATAAGAATAAGTAGTACTTAAAAAAAAAGAAATTTGGTTTTTACTTTATGTAACATGTGTGTATATGATTTTGTGTAATTAATCATTATTTATTACAGGATAACGCACGGAATTTAACCCTAAAGGTTCTTTTAAGTATAAAATCTACTCAAATAGATGATTGCTTAGCACAATTAGATCGGGACTTATTGGATGTTGTAATGAAATATATCTATCGGGGATTTGAAATTCCAACAGAAGGTAGCAGTAGTCATTTATTAACCTGGCATGAAAAAGTATACAATATCAGCGGTGTTGGCAGTATTGTACGAGCATTTGCAGATAGCAAACGTGCTTGAAAATTTGTACATTTTCCAATGATGTTCAATACAATAATTATCATTAATCCTTACTGTTACTCATTGTCATTGTTCATGCAATGAGGATGTAGATAGAGGATGTAGATTCCATATGGGAAATATAACACATTTGTGTACATTTGTTATCAATAAAGTAATTTTTATTTCTTATACATTTGGAGAAAAGTCTTTCTCATTTTAGGTCTTTATTATCTTTGACACATTTTGCTTGTTTTATGTTAAAGGTAGAATTTTTTATTTTGTATACAAAACAATATCATAATCCAATAGAAGTAACATTTATATTTTTTATTAGAATTTTATGTATCATGTATCTATATATTCATCTATGCATAATAATTTTATAACAATTTGGTACATATAAAATAATGATACTATATATACTTCATATTAAATGACATTTAAATCCTATTATCAAATATATAACAAAATGAATAAAATTAGATTATAAATTTTATAATAGTTCAGAGTAGTTCCATTATTATGGAGATATTCTATTGAGTATTCATTACTCACATTTGTTTTTTACTGTGAGCATTATCATATTTGTTTGATGTATTAAATATAGTGCACTCACAAATACTGCATTTGCTCTATAACAAGATTGAGAAAAACAGTTATGTTTTTAAAATAAATATAATAAATTGGGAGAAAGACAAACTTAATGATACATACTGCCCTTCTTTAAAATACTCTTTTAATGTATTGCTAAACCTTTTACTATATTTAACAAATTCCCTTTTCCTTTGATCTAAAGCCTGCTTTCCAGCAGAACCACGTATGAATGCAGTAACTTCATTCACTGCATCTAAAAGTTTTTTTATTGCACTTGCAATTTCTCTAAAACAAGTATATCAAAAATACATTATGTGAATTAAATAACAGAGAATTTTAACTTCACTATGCTACATAAGTAAAAACATACTTGATTGTTTCAAGAAATGTTTTACGATCAGTTATTTCATCAGGAATTCTACTAAGTATTCTTTTCAATGAAGCTGATTTGCGATTTAATTCTTGAAAAGCATCCTCAGATCTTGCTGATCTATATTCAACAACTATAACACATAAAGCAAAACAAAAACTTAAACATATTTGTAACAATAATTGTTCAGATTGTACAAAATCATAATGTGATTATACCATCATAATCAGAAGCTGCTCCTTGCAATCTGAGAACACTTTCATTCATATCAAGATTAAGTTCTGCTCGTCGTATTATGCCAAGAATTAAATCATGTGTAATTCCTGGATGAGAATTTTCAGCTTTCCAAAGAGCTGTACGTAACGTTTGTGCAGCCAATACATTTTGTCTTTCTAACTATATAATAATGGATTAATAATTAAATAAATAGAATTTAATATAAAAGGAGAATATATTTCAAAATTTATTTACTGTTCCAATAATCTATTCTAAAGAATTACTATGATAAATAGATGAAAAGGATTTTCAATACCTTCATTAATATTGGTCTTAAGATGACAGGAAGAACCAGTGATGTAACTGGAGTCTCATCGCCCATTGTCATCCTTTACAACGTTTATTTATAAATACAATTCCAATATAATTAATCCGTAACAAGCTAAATGTAGCTAGTTGCTTTTTCAATTGGCCAGCGTAAGCATTGATCGAATTGTTTCCATTAAAATATATTTATTTCAATCATATTCTTAATATGACAGCTGTCACGCTTAGTGTTTTATTCCAAAATGAGGTACACAGGTTGTACAACTTGATTTTCAGGTGAAAATTTTTATCCTAAATTTTCCTTAACTAAATAATATTGTACAATTTTTTACCAGTTTTAACATTAGAACAATTAAAAACTGCTTATTTTCAAATTATGAAAGAAAGGGTATTTTATATATATTGAATAATTTATTATTTACATTATATACTTTACAGTATAGCGTTCCTACTACCTTGAATAATAAATAAATATATTCCCTATTAGATTCAAGTACAGATTTCCAACTTACGAACGATAAATGAAATAGCGCCTTGACACAACGCAAATGAGACGAATTGTATCAAAATAGTGGAGAGTAACCTATTACAATTAATATTCAATTACAAATACGGAATGCTGCTACTTTATTGACATAATTGACTTAAATATATCGTATAAAATTATTGAAATTTTCAATAATGTTGGAACGCAAAGATCCTGAAGGAAACTTATACGTTTTTGTAAGTATATTCGTCGTGGATAACCTCAATTTAATTTGTATAGTATTATTTTTGTTTGTATATACTCTCGTTATCGCTATTTTATTAAATAGAATGAGGAAGATTTACCGTATGAAGAAGAAATTTTAAGAAATCCTTACTCTGTGAAGCATTGGCAACGTTATATAGATCATTTAAAAAGTACAAAAAGTAATAATTTAAATATTGTATACGAACGAGCGTTAAAAGAACTTCCGGGGAGGTAAGATTCCTGTCTTTTTTTTTTTTTTAGATACATTTCCTATAAAATATTCAAGTCTTTCTTTTTATTAGTTACAAACTATGGTATAATTACTTACGTCAACGTGTCAGCCAGTTAAAAGGAAGATGCATAACAGATCCTCTTTATGAAGATGTGAATAATGCATTTGAACGTGCTTTAGTTTTTATGCATAAAATGCCTAGAATTTGGATGGATTATTGTACATTAATGACTGAACAATGTTACATTACACGTACTCGTCAAGTTTTTGATAGAGCACTTAGGGCTCTTCCTATCACACAGCATCATCGTATATGGCCATTATATATAGAATTTTTGAAAAAACACAATGTATATGAAACTGCTGTCAGAGTGTTTAGAAGATATCTTAAGGTAGGATGAAATATTACAATTTAATTTATTAATTCCTTTATTTATTTGTATTTGATAATCTATAGTTTATTTCTAGCTAGCTCCAGAAGATACAGAAGAATATATAGAGTACCTGATATCAATTGGAAGACTTGATGAAGCAGCTGTAAAACTTGCACAGATTGTTAATCAAGATGATTTTGTATCAAAGCATGGAAAATCTAATCATCAATTATGGAATGAATTATGTGATTTGATATCAAAGAATCCTTCTAAAATAAAATCTCTTAATGTAGATGCTATCATTAGAGGTGGTTTGAGACGTTATACTGATCAGTTAGGTCCTTTGTGGAACTCTTTGGCAGACTACTATGTTCGTAGTGGTTTATTTGAAAGGGTACTAATCAATTTTTTTTTCTATTAAAAGACAATTTATCAAGTTTGAAAGTTATATAATTTCCATATTTTTGCTTTTAACAGGCAAGAGATATTTATGAAGAAGCAATACAAACAGTGACTACTGTTAGAGATTTTACCCAAGTTTTTGATGCCTATGCACAATTTGAAGAACTTAGTCTTAGTAGACGTATGGAAGAAGCTGCAAAGAATCCTACTGAAGATGGTATGGGTACATATGTATATACAATATAATTTTTTATTTGATAAAATTTCTAATATCTTATCTTTTGTAATTATATGTACAGATGATATAGATTTAGAATTGAGATTAGCGCGATTTGAACACTTAATGGAAAGACGTTTATTATTATTGAATTCTGTACTACTTAGGCAAAATCCTCATAATGTACAAGAATGGCATAAAAGAGTTAGACTTTATGAAGGACAACCACACGAAGTATAATAAATTTTTACTTTATTTAAAAATTAAGAATAGTTTGATAATTTTACTACTGTAATTGTTAATTTTTCTTTATAGATCATTAATACATATACGGAAGCAGTGCAAACCGTGCAACCACATTTAGCAGTAGGTAAATTGCATACCTTATGGGTTGAATTTGGTAAATTTTACGAAGAAAATGGTCAGATAGCAGATGCTCGAGTAGTTTTTGAGAAAGCAACTCATGTTCCGTATACTAAAGTTGACGACCTTGCTTCTGTATGGTGTGAGTGGGCAGAAATGGAAATTAGAGATGGGTATTATATCTTCTTGTTTTTTAAGGTGTATTAACATTTAAATATATTAATATTGTATATCTAACATGATAATTTCGTTTATGTAGAAATTATAAAGAAGCATTAAAACTTATGCATCGCGCTACTGCTATGCCATTCCGCAAAGTGGCATATCACGATGAGACAGAAACGGTTCAAATGAGATTGTATAAATCCTTGAAAGTTTGGTCTATGTATGCTGATTTGGAGGAAAGCTTTGGCACATTTAAGGTATATTTTATAAGAATATAATTTTATTTGCAAAATCCTTAGAATGTA